GCTAAAATACTGATTGCAAAGTGCGCCAGCACACCAGAACAGCTAGAGTCTCGCGCTGAATCTGACCCGGGTGCTTCTACGAACAGTACTTGATGGGGCGTCTTTCCGTTTGAATGCATGACTTCCGGGAAATATCAACAAATTTTACCCGCGGAGATTAATCATATTCAGGCTTCATTTTGCATTTGTTGTGCTCGTTGCGTGATTATTCTGGTGACATCATGTCATGTCTTTTTATAGGTATGCAAGGCTTTGACATGCGAATCAACGAACACGGTGATGCCAAAGGAAATTACACGCTGTTGTCGTGGCAAGTAGTGAGTGAATGAAATAATGAAAAACGTCTGAACAGAAGCTTTTTTCAACGAATGCTCTGGAGCTTTGGCTGCTTGTAGCAGCAACTGATTCAGTTCTTGTTGATGACAATTGACGAAGAATATCTGCGCGTACACTTGTTAATACGATTGTTTCATATAGGTGGAGCCGGTTCGAACGAAAGGTGATGGTAATTACTACCCGCTTGACCACGCTCTTGACATCACAGCCATGTTTGTCGATGGAGGTGATGGACATAACAACATGCCCAAGCTTGTGTGAGTAGAACACCTAGTTGAGATTTCTTCAGCATTTTAGTGTCCCTCGGAACATATGCTGTTTTTATAAAAACCTTTGCTTTCTCCCGTGCACTTAAAGATACACTGCGGAGTTGAGACGTGGATATTTTTCCGTATGCGAGAGGAGCAGCAACGTAGCTGCTGCAGCGGAACTCTTCTGCCATTCGAGAGTGCGCTGCAATGAAACTAGAGGCTTTAGTTTTCCGAAGTTTCTTGGACCACCCTCACCATTTGATGCGCGACATGCATACGACACAGCCCATAGCGCCAATCAAACGCTCGAAAAGCCACTTACGACATGCTCGGGCAACGCTCAAACTTTGCAGTTCGTCGACGCGGTGTAAAGCATTGTTCACAGTCTGCGACCCGCGTTTTCTAGAAAGAAACGCTTCGGCGAAAAGCTTTCGATACGTATCGATTGGCGGTTGGGCGAAGAGTCTGGCGGTTGCGCGAAACGGTTTTGATACGTATCGACGGGCGGTTCGGCGGAGCGGTTGGGCGAAAAACGCTAGCCCGACCGCCCTGGCGTTTTTCTCTAGGGCGGAGCCAGCGAAATCGATACGCATCTATTGCTTTTCGCCAAACCGCCAAACCGCGGCAGCTTTTCTCCAAAGCGGTTATACTCTAATCATACGTATTTGTTGCTTTTCGCCGAACCGCTGTTTCGTAAGGGTCATAGAGTGCGGACAATGCCTAACGCGTATTGGCGCTGCACAGTCGCAGCAGCGCTCCAGTGCTAAAAACGTGGAAGAGGCTGCAGACGGAATCGATCGGCGCCGGCCGCTTGTGTTTCGAGGGAGGCGGTCGTATGGCGTGGCTGGCAGCTGTCCTACCGTAACTGGGACGCTGCTGGACGCTAATTGACACCTCCCTGAGCCTGGGCAGCCGCTCCCTTGGACCGGAGAACTCGTCCACAGCTACGTAATTGACTCGCATCATTGATCGAGCAAACCTGCTCATTCGAATGGTACAGAGAGCAGAGCTCCCAGATGATAACAGTATTTTAGCTATTTTTTTTTGATCAGTTGCTTTTCATGTCACGGGGGACAGTTCCGGTAAAACTACATCTGAAGTTTTTTAAATGTTTCCTACCTTTGCGCTTAACTTTACCACTCTCGATTTTTTTTCCTCTCATTCTTCCTCCCTGACTCTCACTACTAGATTGATGTGGTGATTGAATGGCTCTTGATTGAGTATGCGCTACAAAGCAGGTTGAGACGTGGTGGTAATGAATTTCAGCCGCCCCATCAGGCCCCATTCATACTTTGCAAATGTACAAAATCGGTAACTTCGGAAGATTTGTGAAGCGGGAGGATATTCGTGCGATTCACGGGTTTTTCGAATTCGCTACTGGGCAGTGGACCGATCCCCGGTAAATACTTTAGTGCAGTCTCCAGCTCTACAGAATATAATTTCTCGAAGTACCAATGCATACTGTTCGACAGGGTGCACTCTATTTCCATCCTAGCAGAACACTCGCACCATTCAGTTTGGGTAGTTCGGAAGGCGTTTATACTACGCGAATGGTGGGCTGTGATCGCGCGATCGGAGCGACGGGTGCCAGCAATCACCGATAGCGCGACTTCTACTAATAATCGATAGCCGTTTATAGCTGTAGTTATGTAATGGCTGGTAGGCGAAAAAAAAGTCGAAACTCCGCTCAAAAACGGAAGAGAATGCGTAGTTGAGCGATCAGTACGCAATTCGGCGTTTACGGAGACGTCTCACCATTGTAGGTCGATCAATTATACGAATCAGTATGGTGCGTGGCTTGTGGACGAGTTCTCCGGTCCGAGGGAGCGGCTGCCAGGCTCAGGGAGGTGTCAATTAGCGTCCAGCAGCGTCCCAGTTACGGTAGGACAGCTGCCAGCCACGCCATCCGACCGACACCCGTGTTTTGAGAGTAGTGGACAGCCTGGAGAGCAGGCGCTTCCTTCACGCAACCAAAGCTCCCTCATTTTCTAAACTCTCCCAAAGCCCTGGCGCCAGTGCAGATCAATACCAGACTGCATGATTAGGCAACGAGTACATCCTTTTCCCCATATTCTCTAAAACACAAGCGGCCAACGCTGATCGATCCCCGTTCGCAGCCGTGTTCGCGTCTATAGCATTTAGGCGCTCAGCGCGTCGACGCTGGTTGCAGCGCATCACATTGCGTTATTACCATTACAGTGCGTCTGCGTCCTCGCGAGGTCTGAACGCTGCGTTATCGCGTATCAACTGGAGGCGTAAGGAGGTATAGGACACGCCCAATCCGCAGCAAGAAAGCTACATTCGTGTACCTTCCGTGGCTGCAGCTGGTCCTCTCATAAGGGTTGCACCTCTCAAAAAACTCTACAATGTATCCTGGAGCGAGTCAAAAACGGTGCTTTAAGAAAACACGTCTCCCTTCGAAACTTCTAACGTTTTCCGGTCCTTTTGAATTGAGTTCCAAGAGAGTGTAAAAACATAGGAGGAATTCTTCATTCCGTTGTCACTTCAGTAGCAGTTACTGAGAAATCGACTCATTAATAGTTGCTTGTTCAGGTTCCATAAACCAATCATATGGATAGACGGGCCAACTAGAGATCAACCAGACTGTGGCTTTCATGGAGAGCTTTGTAGAGATTATGGCGGTAAGTCTTGTGCTGTTATGAGAAGTTCCATCATCCCATGTAGTTTCTTAATGAAAATTGGCGGCTGTTAGGAGAGATCGAGCTGTTATCATTTACAGTTTTTACACTGGTTGCTCGGCGCAGTATGCAGACGGGGGGCATTTTGCACTTTCGTTGCTTCACTAGTTCTGGTTTACAAGTCTCACTCTGGTGAAACCTGTGAACTCTTGTGAAGCTGGAGCAAGCTCGTCAAGCCATCATGGTAAAACCTGTCAACTCGAGAAGAGGCTGTCTAGATGGGTCGACTCAAAGGGAAATCGTTGAAGTGCAAAATGCGCCCCCCTCCCTTGTCGTCAAACAGCGCCTGAAGGTTCATCTAAACCTGGATTTTGACATAAAGTTGGAAAAATAATGCAGTGAAGGTAAAAAGTGGAGGAAGTTTGAAACAGAATTTATTAGCTGAGTATTGCCACAGCAGAAGTCCCTAGGAGGGAACCATCACAAGCGCCAGTTTCCCCGTAAGTCACCAAACACTATCTCTAAACATAACTAATTATCGTAACCATACCCAATAACGCGCCGTATACAACTAGATCAATCAATCGCTATGC